CTTCCACCCTAAACTGCTGCGTACCTCGACATCAATCACGACGCTCGGTAAATAGAGGTCGTGACCGCTGACGGGAGACTGCAATCAGAACACCAAGTGCTATAGAAAACTTGAGGTATACACATAGAAGTAAAATAGGTTAAACAAATAGGTAACTAATAGTTACGACGTTTTAGTAACTAATATATGCATCAGTAGAATGAAATAAGTAATTAGAACCGAAAATACAAACCACAGACTCTTTTTAATAAAATGCAATGCCACTGGTTTTATTAATAGAATAAAATAACATAAAAGGGAAACCACTATTTCAAACGGAATACACTACAAGATGAAATATACTATGTAGGTAGATATAAAATTATTTAGAAATGTATTATTGTATATTTCAGAGATAGGTACTCATCTCTGTAATGGAATAACTATTGCACCGGTATATATGGTTTATATTATGCTCCTTATATATACAATTAGAGTATATTTTACACATGATTATTCCCGTCTTTTAGCTATGTGCACTTACTTGTAAAAATACACATAACTAAATCTTTCTTCCCTTCGTAGCGATATCATTGTCATGTTTTACTGAATACTTAGAATCCTTCAGGCTTCAGGTAGACGAGGAAACGCAAGTGTGTGAGTAAAAGAGGAGTGGTAAGACTACTTTATTGTATACTACTTATTTTTGGGATAAAAGATGCCCTTCGTAATACAGTTTATATTCACACCATATTTCATTAAAATCCATTCATGTATCATGGACATGTAAAGGTACACAGATGCACTGTTACCTCGTACTAGTAAGGATACATTATATATATAACTTCTATAATAAGAATCAATATGAGAACAAGTGACTTAGTAAAAAACCCGTCCTTGTCACTACAAAACCAGCTATAGCGGAGAAATAATATATATACATAATAATAATAACAATCTCAGGACATTTCACACAGTACCATCGAGGCCCAAGTTAAGCTAGCTAAAGCTTGTGTTATGGGTACTAGACATTATAGATCATACATAGAAAACACCCAGACCGATACAAACAATCATACTCATGAATATAAATATTTGTGCCGTGCGAGGATTCGAACCCGCGACCATCGGACGTAAAGCGGTGTGCCAGACCGCTCCGACCACCGAGGTCGTCAAATTAATTAAAAACTAGGTTGGTCCCAGATTTTGTGCGTGCGTAGTATTGTAGACGGATTTATTGATGATAATTATAAAACTATGGTTAACGCGTCCATATGACGCCATCTGCTATATGATTAATATAATGTAGATATTGTAGAGCCAATCCATTTTCTTCTCTAATCACTACGACAAATTTACTCTTATCTAGTTACTCAATCCGTTGGTTATGTCTTTATTATTTAGATAATGAATTAGTACTGGTTCCAACTAAATATTTTAAAAGAGCAATACGCAAGAACGAGCAAGATTCCGCAGCAAAATTTATGATTTTATTATATGTTCCTATAAATTTCACAGAAACATTTTTTTTTTCGAGGTAAATGGTGTCAGCAATTTATTTAAACGAACAAATTGCAGAATCAGTATAGCAAGTATGACACCTTATTATATTGATCTAAGTGCTTCTTGTCTCATTAAAATGCTTTTCTGTTTAATAAGTGTTTTAAGTATTTGTTTTTTGTTAAGATGTCTGGCGTAGATAATAAATTTACGTAATATAGTACAAAGATACTAAATTTCATTCAGTTGACTAATAAGTAACAAATATAGACGTTTTTAATTTCGCTACCACCACACATCATATCAGCTGGCAGGGAATATCATACGACTTCATACTTAACTTATTAATTGAAGAAAATAAAACTACACTTTCCTATTTATACTATAGTACGCTTGTTTTTGTAACAGCTTAACTATTAAAAATAAAACGAATAACTCTACTGTTTCATGTTTTATTGAAGATGTAGGTACAATAGTTAACTTATTGAAAGAAATTTGACAACATTTATTTACAAGGAATTGTAGGTAACATTGAAATTTTGGTAATACGTCTTTAAAATTGTTTAGTCTACGTATAATTTTAAATTATAAATTTGAAATTAATGATAAATAGTTTGCAATAAATACATTGAAGGACAACAGTAGATAAAACAACAAAATATATACATCCATCTTAAAAAATAATTTAAATTTAGCATTGTTAATATCAGCTTTATTAATTTCTCTAAATAAATAATAATTACTATAAAAAATTATTGCCCTAATTAAACTTTAACTACCTTCATGAATGTGCACAACATTTAACAGTGATTAAAATTATCTAATAATAACTATTGAATTAGTCCTAAATAAATAAAATTTCTTATTTCCCAAATGGTAACTCAATAACTTACGGTACTTATGTATTAAAACTTATATTAAATGATTTATTTTGATATGCTTGATATTCCCGTTTTTGATACAAGTTGTCTTAATCATTATATATACATATACTTATTTGCTCTATGAAGCTGTTAGGTTTTTTTATTTGTTCTTGGTTTTATATATATTCCATATGAAATAATGTTGTGTAATAACATTTAGTCTTATTAATGTAAACCTTTATTACTGAAAGATTCACGGATTAATACTATAATATATACATACATTATAGTATTAATCATTGAATTATACAATTATATTTCAATATAAGTGAAATTAATGCCTAAATGAAACTGAATTATATTCTTTTTGAAGATGCACGGCCAATTTCTAAGGACGAAGAAATAACAAATGACCCTATGCCACGCTCTACTTTCGCTTTACTTTTTCGTAAAATTTCCACAGGGCTTATTGGATTCTACTATATTCAAAATAAATAATAATAGAAATTTATAAAAAATTGGATTTTAACAACTTGTATCAAAATATAGCAGCTTGGTGCTTATAATGAACGGTAACAAGTATTATTTTGTTACATATTAGTGGAATTCCGCGACGTGCCCAATAATATAGCAAATTTTATTTGGATCTATAAAAACATGTTTATAAATATTCGTTGACTTTGAAATTTGGATTTGGAAGCAAACGTTCTACTAGGACATCCACATCGAATTTTTACCATTCGATATCACTGGAACTAAAATCTTGGTAAGAATCAGGGCTTGTAACACTGCCGCCGTCTTACGTATTACCTATGGACATTTTATGCTAAATAGGTATTACTTAGACTTATTCAACTAACTCTTCAGTCTTGGACGTTACACTTAAATAGAATACTTCTAAAACCCGCGTCTTCACATTTCTCCAAGGTTTAAAATTTCGATCATTAGAATCGGCGTGTAAAACTAATCCTATGCATTTACAATCACACACAAAAAGTCAAAAGTATCTGAGAATAAGATTTAAGAAATAGTATACAGTCATAATATTAGGTATTTAAAAGACACACATATTTATTCGGAGACTAATTAATAGCTTACAACTTTTGATCTACAGAAACGAGACGAATTCAATAATAACTATAAGTACTTACTTTAATACCAATTTTGTGTTTGTAATATGAAATATTTTCATCTAAAGATTTGAGAAAATCACATTCACTAACAACATAACAGTTATAAACATTATTAAGTCACACAGCACGATCAAATCACGACATCTAAAAAGAGAAAGCGAAAATTGTACAACATTCATTCTTGTTGAATTTATTTAATATTACATGCATAATTCAATTTTTATACAATTATATAAATAATTATTCCTAAAAACTGAAATATCACAAACAGTAAAAATATTTTAATCTGTATAATAAACAGTGTATAAATATAAAAGTCGCACATAATATTTAATTATATTATAAAAATATATTGCTCAGGGTTTCGGTGGGTCGGTCTATCAAATCAGTACGCAGTCATTGCTGGTAGTTAATTACTTCTAATACAAATAAACAAATGTCGATATTAAAGATATAGATCTACGGTTTACTTTTTTTTCCAGTAAAATTAGACAATGACTTGAACTATGAAAAGAAAGTTGTCTATGAAATACATTTGTGTTTGTGTTTCTAACGACATCTGATTTAAAAAGTACAATAATAGTGAAATTTAACTTAACATAACTTGATAGTGTACGATATTGTTAGGAAAATCACTGGAGTCTTCCAAGTGATTTTCCTAAAATGTTTCCATAAGAAAAGTATTAAGTTTAATAATATTTGACTGCATTGTCATATGAAAAGAAGAATACGAAAGAATTATTTTAATTTTACTCTTGTAATATTTATTTAAAGTTTTTTAATTACAACCACAAATCAGTAATCTATCCGAAAAACTATTAGAATATGTTCTTTTTAAGAAATTGTGTGTGTATATGTATATTTTAATATAAAAATTGATTTATTTAAAATAATAAATATATGTATCGATGAAATTTCAGATGACAGAGTATTTTATACGTGACACCTGCTACCTTTCATGTACAAAGTTACGTCTGCTACAAATAAAGTTGAATAAAAAACCGTTCGAATTTCATTGTGATTCATCGCCGCCACTCGATGAATTTGTGCAGAATAAAATGAAATTGCAGTCGGTTGCCCGTCTGTGGTGGGTCTGTTTAAAAACAGACTGTGTTGATAGATGCCTACGTACTTTTTAATATTTTTTACTTTTATAAACTGCACTTTACAAGTATTAAATTCACTTTTTGCACTCTTCAACGCTTGTGAAGAATGCATCATATTCATTTAGAGTAGCATCAGAACTAGTGATGACTGTTTGTGAAATGTCTCACTTAATGATTGAAAAGGACTAAGTAATAATCATGTCCATATTTGATATAGAATTACATTTTATTGCTGTATAATATAGTGGTCTACGAAGTAATTTTTTTTCTGTCTAAGGTTACCGGGCTTTATTTTCAAATGTCTAAGGTTGTTCCCTCTCATTAAAAATGTCAAATAAAAATATTTATATATATATACATAATTAAAATAACAAAATTTTAGTTTTAGAACATTCAATTTTGTTGATGTTAGTCATAACTATAAATAAATTAATTTAAGTGTACTAATAATCTACTTTACGCTAGATGTATACATAAACGATTTTAAAAAACTTACTGACTAGTATAATGTTTCATTGATATGTATTTAAGTTACATTGATATGTATTCGATCACAACGTTAAGGTGCTTCCATCATTTGTAGATTTGTCAAAAGACTAGTCTTCTGGCCATCCAAGATCCTCACCTACTAGGTCGTAGAATCTCTGGTTGTGTTGGATAAAGAACTTTCTCAATTTCGTAACGACTGTTGGATCTACTCTAGGATGCTTCCGCCCTTTAGTTTCTCGTAGACATTTGTCTGTGGTATCATTACGTAAGCAATAGAAACCTTTGGTTTCATTGAAGTAGAAATTCTTTCGTCCTGTTTGAAAATAAATAAAATCAGATAATCCTTAAAAATAAATGCTGGCTGAGTCATAGATATCTATCCAAACAGACGAGTGCCTAATTTATCCCTATGGGTAGTCGAAGTATGAAATAATATTAAAACTTTTGATAATAAATCACGTGACTAAATCGCATGAATGGCTGCCACAAAAAGTTCTCGCTAACTGGCTCTACGTTTCTTTTCAAAATATATCAGATTGATTCTTTCCGATTTAAGAAGTTACATGGAGAGTTCAAATAATTTAAGTTGAAGAACTTAAGTTGCGATTACGTAAATGTTAAATAAAAGTACAAAAATTACATAGAAATTTCGTAAGTAGATATAATTTTGGAAGAAATTTATCGATTTAACTGTGACTATATTTTAATTGTAAATTAAAATATAATTTAATCATGTCGGACGTTTAAATCACTATGCAATAATTTAGTTTTTTATTCTCCGTGCCCTATAAGATTAAAAGAAATGAAAACTTATATCAAGAAGTTTGGGCGGTGTGATATTATAGGAATAAATTTTTCTTTTACGAAGTAGGGATCTACAAGTTAAATGGAATGACTTAAACATATGTTAGATGTTTGAATTGGGGTAGCTGGTAGAACGGAACAATAATAATATTATCAATTTCTTGATTGGAGGGTGACTAATAAATAAACATACCTATTTTGTGCTCCAATCCCAAAAATTTCTCTATACGGCGTAGTTGCGGTACTGGGTCTTCAATCAACAAATCGCCATTCACCACTAGGATTTGTTCTCTTGGAAAAACTTCCAGCCATCGATGAAGGTAAGCATGGTATAAAGATATTGCTATTGGTCTGTGGAAAGAAAAGTATACATATAATCTTTATATATCAGAAAAAATTGCCTAAAATTTATATGTAATGAGTGGTGTGGTCATCTAGAATATACGTAGCAAAGACTTTCAGCGCTTATTATGCACACTCTACGACACTATTGTGTAGGCGACAAATAAATTCAAATAGAAATTCGATTAACCTGTATGCCATATTTATTGAACCATCTGGCGAAATTGCTAGATGCTCAAAGGGCTTTGCAGCATCAGGCAGTGGATGGCCAGGAAGTAATGGCTGTGCTGGTGCTGATGGTGTCGCTCGACTTCGTAGCTGTGTATAATCAGAGATGGCTCGAGTGACTGGCTCCCGGACTATAAGGAGCAACCGAACTGAGGAGTTCATCGCTCGCACTCGCTCTGGAACCTGTGTGATTTAGAATGAATGAAATACAATCCAATAATTATGCTTTATAAAAAAAAGATAAATGAGTTATTTCCTTCTCACCTCGGGTGTAACGAAGTAACTTGGACTCTTTTCAATTGTAATCTGCCCTTTAAACGATAAAGGCATTTTGCTTCTATACCATTCCAGACCTAATGCATAGTTCTCATCGCGGTCAAAGAAGTGAACCTCTCCTGAAGCTTTTTGGACCATTGGATGGAGGTATAGCATTTCCAAAAGAGCACGCGTGCCACACTTTCGAACTCCGATTATTAATGCCTACAAAACAATTTACGGATTAATTTATCTACTTAGTGAAGAAATCTATCTAGTAACTTTAAAAAATATATACATATATTCTGTAACCAAATATCTAATTACGTAAATGAAATGGAAAGTGGTTTCTACTAAAACACACTACGACTAAACGTCGTCGTTGTCCAATAATGAATTGCAAAATACGTTTCAATAATTAAAGCAACTTGAAACACCAATTTCTTCTTTCTATACATTTCTGGTACAGTGTTCGTTCTACTAATTACGTTAAAATACCTGGGGGAGTCTACGAGCTGGCCGCGGCTGTCGGGGTGGTCGTAGTCTTTTTCTTAGCGCCATTGGATGATTAATGGTTCGGCTATGGCTTTCTTGGTTCTGTAGAATCTTACGGTTTTCGTTCGCGGCTGACGCCAAGCTCGCCGCCTACGCAAATATTATATTAATAATGAGTCTCAAGTTAGATTAATGAAGAATATTTCCATTATAAAGGGTGGAAACTATTGATTCATTTATTATTACCTATAACGCTAATGTTATACATCAGACGTGGAGTGGTTGATTGATCTTTAATATCTTATATAAATTGCGTTATTTTAGAAACAGACATAAATAAATGATTACTACTTAATACGTAAGTGTTTCTTTAAGTGACAAATTTCTATTTGGTAGTACATATTTTTAATCATAATAATTATATTTACAATGAATGAACAGCTATAATGAAAACTATTCATGTTAAAAACTTATTATTTTTTTAATTATCTTTTTATATTTATTTTTAGGTATATACTATAAATTTATATTATAGAAATTTACAGTATTACTGTTTGTTTTTAAATATATAACATAAAACATTCTTTGTATGTAACCTTATTACAATACCTATACCAATAACGAATTAAAAGGTTTTCCAAATAACTAATTTATGGATCATTAGACAGTTAGTTTTTAGACAACTATTTCGAGTAGTATTTGTATAAATTCAAATACATATATAAATTAGGAATATTTTCTTTTGGACATAATATGCACGTGTGATATTATGGTAAAAATAATTTATTGTAATTATTAAACCTAAATTAACTAACTTAAAATTTAGTTTTAATAATTTCAAATAAATAATTTCTTTGTAGCCGGTCACCACAAAAGAACATTTCCGTGCTTAGGCGGACAGTTTTATAGGTAGGTATCCATGTATGTGTATAAACATACATATACACGTTATTAGCTGTTAATTTTTTAAACAAAATTTATCACTATATTTATTTATATTATAGATACTAAAACCGAGATCATTTCCTTGTAAAGAATATGATTTACTTATTTATTTTAATTAAAGAAATAACTTTTGAACCTACGTAGTACCCGTAGCCTTTTCTTTTCTTTAAACCTGCTTGCGGCATTGTGTAATCATATTTTTTGGTAACTTAATTATGAATAATAAATATGTTAAAAATAATAATTTTAATAAATATAAAAAAAAAGTACTTCAACATAGATCAGGAAGAGAAGTCAGCTCATTTAAACTTCTTTATTAGCTAGGATATGATATAACATATACAGAAAATACAGTCGATGTGAGTACTCGTGACTTTTGTAGTCGGTTGAAAAGGAGGGTGTCATAAAGAAGGGCGGTACACAGCTGTCAGGTTATCTGTGGAGAACAACGGCTTTGAACATTAATTACTGTTACGAGGTTAACGATAGGCAGTGGCTACTAGCTACAGAGTTGTATACATGGAGTTAGACTCGTCCGACACGCCCTAGCCTAGCACGCACCAAGGAAAACCTTGTTCAATGAAACATACCACTTTGGTTGGGTTTAAGATTATCTGTAGTATATATGATTATTTTTAAATGCAAGCAGGTAATTAGTAACCAGTTCCGCTATTTCTGGTTGCAGAAAGCAGAATATCGCAAATGCAGGATGACAGTAACACCTACATATTGGTCATATGCATAAATATGCCACTGCATATTACTCACTGGTACTCGTAGTAGGTATGCTGATATGCTAAGCTAATATAGACAATCCTATATTTAAAAATTAACCAACCATACTATAATCGACAGCTACTTTAGGATTAGGACATGCTTTAGTATATACCATGGTATATAAATAACAATATATATACATTATAAAGGTCAACTAAGTTTAATACTTTAAATATTTGAGGAAATAAGTGATTGATATTCTATATATTTCATAAAAAAATGGTTTCTTATGTACCTCCGGATTAAAAAGTTCGAATGTTCAAAATATGTTATAAACTATGAGGGTTAAAAAGTCACTCTGCACGAATAGTATTTATTAATCACGTAATATATATATATATATAATCACCATCAAAACTGTACTTGTCCTTTCATATTATATTTCAGACTTAGAACTAGAGACTATACTAAACTAGGCTGCTTATGCATAATAAATTGTGATCGTATAAAGAGTGTTTTAACTGGGTGCGGATAAAGGGGGGGGGTTCTTAATAATTTAGTAGTGACCTCATTGCTAGCAGTGCATACCAGATTGAACTCTAAGCTGTCACCGTAGAAACTAAACTAACACTAACTAACAGTGGTGCCCTGCCAGCGCAGACTAGTACGGTCTTTGGCTAACTGGCCTTATCCTTTATTTTACTTCTCCTTATCCTGATATTACTATGCTGCATTGGTGCCCTCCCAGCGCAGGTGAGTGCTTAACATAATAACGCTACAAGAAACAATTACCTGTATACTATAGAGCGCGCTGTCATATAATACATGGAAGGTGAGGAAAAGCGAAAGCAGCGTGACTGAGAGGAGGGCCGCGGCAAGTTTGGGCCGCGACACCCCTACCACCAGCACGCAGTCCGCCAGCTCGCCCTCTGCCGGCCGGAACGACGATCGGGGCAACCATCTAGATTAACAACAATGTCTGTATAACAAACCTGACATGACTGAATGACAACAAATTGGGACCTGGAATGAAACTAATGTGGACTATAATCCTAGCTAGCAATGTGCTAGCAAATGTAGCATATCAGGTTGACGCGGTTCCCCTGGAAATCATTGCGATAAATTCCTAAATTTGTCACGATGGACTAATTGACCTAACCTCGTGTCGTCTTATCATACTTCACTGGTGTCCCGCCAGCGTAAACCGATAGCGCAGATGGGCCACCATTTCATTATCATCAATTTTAAAAAATTATAACATTTTTAACATTTTACTGAGTTAAAGTTAAGTTAACAGGTTTCAGTAAAAGAGTGTATACTATGTGTATACTACCTATGGGGGCATGACATATCAATAATTACAGAATATCAACACACGTGGTGTACCACGTCCAGTGAACACATAAAGATGATTTCGGTGACCCCTACCTATCTAGTCGTTTAACTTGAAAAGGTAAACACGGACCGAAAGAAAAACTTTCACATTTATTAGTTTAGAATACTTAATAGTATTAATAATAGTCGCTGATGCGAGTAACATCGGATATATTCCGTGGGGGCAACACCGCCGGACAAAGCTAGTTGAAAGATAAAATCAAAATCTGTTATAATGTAATTAAATTTTATAGTACTCACAGAATATCGAGCGGCAAAGATTGCGAGCAACTCCTATAGGATGCCTCGGGCCGATGATATTTAGATGGCAGTGATTGACTCATCTGCGGGCGCGACTCCATACGGTTTCCATCGAATTCTAGGCAACTAGCACATTTTAAATATAAAATTCATTGCCATCGCTTCCTCCATCTAACATGTCTGCATCACAGTCATTGCTTTTTTATAATATACAGAATAATATGTAATCCTGTTATGTTATTTGTAAATCTCTTTAAATGCACCTGTAAAGCGGAATAATAACAATAATTAATAGTTTTCTACTAGAGAAACCGACTACTACCTACTTCTACTATTTCAATATAACTAAGATGAATGAATCTTCCTTGTAAGCCAGTTATTAAAAAATAAAATATACTATACATTATTTTAAATTTTATTTCACATACATGACATATTTTTTGTGATATGCTACTTATATTAAAGCCGTAAAGGACAAATACAAACAGAAGTCTGTCATAGTCTGTAATATAATTTCATGAGCCAAAAATAATTTATCTACGAAACCTCGTTACGTCTCTAGACAGAAAGAAAGAAGCCACTGATTTTACCAATATTAAAATATAAAAACTCCAATTCAAGAATATTAAAATTTCAATAAAGAAGACGGTTCAATATATGTAGTGCATGGAATTCAATGTTAGCTATATTAAATATATATGTGTAAAGTTAGATATGCTTCAAAAAGTCCGAAGTGATACAGTGAGTGTTTTTTGTCCTAACTATCAAGTGTTTTTCTGAAGTAGGTAGTAGTGAGAGTGTACGTAGAAAAATATTAAGAAATCGGGTAGACAGGTTCGTCTGCTTGTAATATTTGTTTACCGCCATCTCCAATCGACCCTTGACCGACTGAGCTTCGTAATATCGAAAGCTCTTAATATTCTCATGGTAACTATCCCATTTATATTATGTATCTGGTGAATTACTGTTTTAACATACCATATTAACATATCCTTAATCCTTATACGCTTCTCCCGCACCTGCAAAGAAAGAAACCCAATTAAAATATATGGCTAGCAAAATAAATTACAAGCATGTTTAAAGAAAGGTTAAATATCGGGCACGCGATAAATTGAATGAAGCGTGGTAATTTTCCGTAGTTTTCTTAATTTTACTTTTTACAAAAATTAGTATAGATAACGGCAATATCAAATATCACTGTCAACTACAAGATATTTTGCTATAGGCAAAATGCACAGTAGGTACTCATAATAAGGATTTTACGATTTTATGTTTACATTTGTTTAATTAAGTACATTAATTAAACTGAAATACATTTAATAAGTAATTTATGGAGGCACTTTATGGAGCCTTATAATTACGGGAACAAGAAATAAGCCAACACAAAGTTTCTAGCTAAATTCTGTGTTTAAATTAGCATTAACAATAAAGTTGGAGAACTTAAAGTTTACCAAGAAATCACTGTAGCTCCCTTTACCAACGTAAGAATCATGTGTCGTTCTTTAGGACGTTTTACGACTTTGAGGTGAAATAGGAAGGCTTCACACGTTCTCACCTTTGTTCGGCTGCACTATATTACTACATCACATAAAGTACGAACGTCGTTCGAGCGTGGCCCATATATTCGATGTACAAATGAAATTTGTCTACTTCAATGAAAACTTGCACGTTTGTGGGATTTTTCTTCTTTCTTTCACGTCGGAAGGTTGCAAGGTTATTCTGACTTATTCTAGTGACATACAAAGAGCAGTTACTATATACACAATACACTTTTTCTTCTATCTTTTACTATGTAAGTCAGTTCTATTTCTTTTTATTTATATACACACAATTCATTACAACACAAAATATCTAGTGACGGCGATTAATCAATTAGCAAAATTGCTTGGCAGTATATTTCTATATTTTTTGTTTTAAAACATTCATATTAATCTTCGTGCTTTCATTACTTTATATATATGTATTATTGATGTAGCTGCAATTTTGTACCCTTCAAACAGTGAAAGAATTTTTTAAATCGCTGAAGCGGTAACTTAGTTTCATTCCTCATAACACATTTCGCTCTCACTTTCTAATATTGATATAATGTAATGTAATCTATTAGCCAGAATAAAATATTTCAGTAAATATTTATAAATCTTATATTAATAATTTATAAATCTTATCAATCTTAATTAGTTTCTATAAAAGTAGAATGCATTAGGTGCTTTAGACGTATACAATATATTTCATCAAAGTCCGCTTGAAACGAAACTAACCATTCTAGATTTGCATTTTTCCATAAAAACAAACTTCCGGCCTCAGTTAAGTGGCTTTTACGTCGACGCATAAAAACATCTTGGTGTTTCAAATGTTTCCCCTTTTAACCACACAGGGTGGAGCTGGGCACAACTTGTACCAAATGGCGTGTATTTAAAACAAGGGATTTATGCGCCTATTTTAAATTTATTCGAAATGAGAACGTGGGCCCAGTGTTTTATAAACCACTGGGCCTCAACGTCCACGCCCTGACTTAAACCAAAAAGATTATGAGTTCGAATCTCGTTGATTTCAAAAAAACTTGCTGAGAGTTTTTATTTTTTTTACTGATCCAGTGAATGAGAACATCTATAACAAACGAAAAATTATTCCGAGAGACAGTAGTAAGCTCTCACCCGGCCAAGTTTGATTCTAACATATTTAATCTGATATAAGTCGTGAAGGTATAATTATATCATATACATATACTATTAAATATTCTCTGGTATTTAAAAAGCTTGGTCGTCTAAGGGTTTAGAGCCTTAACCTTATTTCCTATGGTCGCGGGCTCTATACATGCACAATACAACTATACAATAAATATACTGTTAGTATGTGTGTAATGTTGTAGGTACATATGTTTTCTAGGTATATTATCTATAGTAATATTATAAAGAAAATTAGTAAAGTTTGTGAGTATGTTAACCGATTTTGCAAACTCTTTTCAATCAATAGAAGTTGATGTTATGAGTATACTATATTTTAACTTGAAAAAAGTAAATACATTTCGTGGCAGTCGGTTTTGCGAAGTAAGTCACAGAAAAAGCGGTCGAACGAAAACAATTCTTACTTTTTTACTTGAGACAACAATGAGAAATATATGATGGTTCTACAGAAAAATTATAGAATTTGGTAATGCTTATAAAAAAGTTAGCGACAGCATATGTCTAGCTAATCTATATAGGGATGATGATAGATAACTATTATGAATTATTATCAATTGTTAAAGAATGGTTAAAGATATAATATGACAAAGGGGTTCGGAACCGAGACATATGTATTATGTTAAGTGATATTTCTGTTAGACGTCATTTATCATGTACAATTCGTCAGTCTATTTATTTATAAATAATCTGCTTTACCACCAATTTTATGTAAATAAAATTCGTTTTCTACATTATGTTATTTGGTTGGTTAGTTTAAAAGGTACTTAATAGAAATATGAAATAAGCGAGAAAATTTTAATATTATTTGGCTATCGCGACGTTATTTCCTGACTACCAAAGTCTATAAATAAATCATAGCACTCAGTACTAACCGAACCACAGTCATAATTTCATCACAAATAGAAAGCCTACCCGTGTCCACTTTGTTGGGTGGTAAAGAAACCACCCAACGAATCGACAGGGGTAGATTAGTGCATACATATATATATCAACACATAAAGTTATTTAAGCAAATATATTTGTCCGTGGCTTAGTGCTCATCGTACAAGCGCTACCTAGTCTCTTACTCGACGAGTTGGGATAATTTATCTTGGTACATTATTCAAAACCTAGGCACCACTTTGTGAAATAAATAAATATATATATTATATACAATATAAATTTGTCAGTTTATAAACGTATGTAAGAATTTTATTTTATTATCGACAGCCTCGGTGGTCTAGTGGTTTAGCACACCGCTTTACTATCCGATGGTCGTGGGTTCGATTCCTCGCACGGTACAAATATTTGTATTCATGAGTATGATTGTTTGTATCGGTCTGGGTGTTTTCTATGTATAATATGTATTTATTTACAAAAAAAAAATGTATCCATGTATTTATATCAGTTGTCTAGTACCCATAACACAAGCTCTGCTTAGCTTGGAACTAGATGGCGCTGTGTCAATTGTCCTGAGACATTATTATTATTATTATTATTATGTAACAAATAATTTATATATGTAACAAAAGACAAAATGTGTGAAATTATTATAAAGACTTTAAAAATCACCACATTTTAAGCAATAAATATTAATTTCATTTCATAATCTTTTTTGACATGCAACTGACAAAATATATGTCGATTTTGGTTACTCTTATAATTAAACAGTCATTATTTGTATGTCAATATCGGGTACGTAGATTATTTACAATAGGAGCATGTCAATTATTTATTAATGAAATATGTATCGAGACAATATAGGATCTTGACCTAACATGTCGGTTCAACTTATCGGATACCAAATTTTGTCGTGTGTATACAAAGGATTGTTTACATGAGAAAGCCATAGCAACCGCCATAAAAATAATTGACCCAAGTTTACAAATACAGAAAGGAGTAATATCAGTTTTCTAAGTATAAAAGCTTAAAGATAAGTAAATGTAATTGAAGATGACTTTAAGACAGTTTCTGGTATCCTCACAACGATGTTAGAAATAAGGTTGGTTTTCATTTGATGAATAAATTTAATATTAATTTGATGAGTTTAATATTTGACGACACTGTGATAAACTGAGCTCGATAAGGACAATGAAATTTGCTTCTCAAAAACTAAATTTAGCGAGAGAAGTACCTATATAAAATTTGGGACTTGTTTGTCGCGAGAAACGAGTGTACAAACTCATTTAAGTAGGCACCATTACTTTTTATTTGAGAGACATCATAGTAAAGTTAAACAATTTCATTTATTTTGGAGAAAAAAATACCATTTACAAATGAATATTTACTATTTCATATATCAAATAAGCAATCAATAAATTATTTGTAATAAAAGATTATTATGAAATTATTAAGTTTCATGAGTTATTCGATCTTAACATGTATGTTTCACCAAGAATGTATTATATTTTATGAATTTCAAAGTTATTTCGTATAGGTACTGAAAATAATTACACTCGTTAAAATATTTTTTCAGTATCTCTACAACTATATACATATTAATAAAAAAGTTCCCTCTCCTCCCGCCCCCCTCCCACACACACATCTGTCTGTATATTTACAGTAATCGCAACAAGTACTGAAATTCTCATGCGGTTTTTATACATCACGGTTGCATTCATTCATCATTGCTGAAGAAGTTTTAATTGTATAATTCGTTAAACTTTTGGGTAAAAATACTAACGATACGAAGCCGTGGAGTGTCATTAGTTATATCACAGACATGATAATATTACATAGTTATGTTATAAATGAATATTTTACAATAAAACTAACTGTCGTCTTAAATTATTCAGTGTGTTTTTTTACATACCATATTCTATAATGTATGTTAAATACATATTTTTTAATTGTACATCTCTAAACTGGTAAATAAAATAATAATAAGGTACTAAGAAAGTAGTCTCCGTTTACTTCTTGGGAATTGTGGGAAAATGTTTATGGGAAAATATATAGCACAGATTACTGCGTATGAATTTTAATTATTACGAAACATTATTCGATTTTCCCTTTTTATTTAGGTATGTAATTCTTTTGTGTGATGTTTATAATGGAAAGGTAATCCCGTTTCTTGAAAGTGGAAGAAGAATGAAAGTGACTTGATCTACTTTGTTGCATTAGGAATTAACCACGATCATTTCGACGGAAAACCCCGTGGAGTCTCTGATAGTGTATAAATACTGGCTACACTAACAAACCTGTCTTCCTTTATCTATACAGTATTGAAATGTAATATAACATATTTTGTTACAAAGATACATAATAATATGAATGTACGCTAAAACTTAACAAAATTTTAAATAAATGAAGGGGTTATTTCACTAGATTATATTGTACCTAAGCGCTGCCGACGGCCA